AACCCATCAATCAAATTTTGACAGGAGCTACACAGGTATACTACTTATCACTAAAACTAAGGAAGAAATAAAAGTAACACATTAGAAAGCAAAAAGAGACGTTGCATTCTACCACTAGCAATGCTGCTTCATAGTGCTTACATTCCAGGGGCTTCAGCAAGTTCTGGCCACTGCTCTTACAACCTTTCTCTACAGATAAGATGGCTGATATAATATTCTGTTTGATAAAGACAACATACTTTTAGAAAACAGCTTGTGTGCCAAATTTCAGTTTCTGTGCTACTGTACAGTGTGTTCTGTAACATAGTGCATATACAAAACACATAGTCCTGAGGTTTAGAAGACATGGGCCAAGATCCTAAATGTGCACATTCCTGCAGTCCCAGGTCCTTTCACTAACCAGCAGCTTTGAGAAGGGAAAAGATGATTAAGAGCCAATGTAGACAGCCCCTAAGGGACAACTCTGTGCCACACCTGGGACGTTTTTGGATAGAGCACAAGGAAAACAGTATAGCCCTCTGGGCTCCTTCTCAAAAGAGATTTAATGCATGTCAGCTATATTTCTGTGCACATAAGTCAGTAAAAGGATGCCAACTATGGACTGGCAGTTACCAATATCCTAGTGAAGGTAGCACTTGATAAACAATAACTGAGATCCTGGACATTACATAAAGTTCCACCAGACCGAACTATGCCATGTGTTGTCTCCCACCTATCGCCAAAACCCATCTTTTACCTGCTTTTGCTGCCATCTATTAATGTGTAGAGAGATCTTGTAGCACCTTTGAGACAAGAAGTTGGCAGTATAATCTTTTGTAGACTTCATTCTACTTCCTCAGATGCTTTTGGTCAAGCTTTTGGATCTGAGGAAGTAGACTGAAGTCTACGAAAGCTCATGCTGCCAACTTCTTTCTTTCAGTTAGTCTATGGACCTTATCACACGGGGTCCAAAGCAGACAGAATCCAAACGAAATCCTGACCTAATACGTATTATTTTTCCGTGTGTTCACACAACGTCGCACAGAACTGCACAGAACCCCGACAGAATCCGGAAAGAATCGAGATCTTTTGAATTTTGGTTTCTTCAGGAAGTACAAGTGTGCGACGGGAATCATTTCGCTTTTGCCGTAAGTTCGATATGAGTATGAACAGGCAATACGTATTGTGGAGCATTTCCCCAAT